TGGGTCCTGCTGCTTATGTCTTACTTGGAAGCCTGTTTGACACCACCAGCATCTTTGTTGCTCTACACCGTTGTAAGCTCCAGCTCAGTTGCAGGAGAGGATGGTTTTGTGCACTGCTGAGGATAACAACAAATTGCATGTACAGACTATGACTGAGAAGCAGAGTAGCTCTTCCTTAGGGTTACTGGCAACTGGCATGTGTGCCTTGCCTAGCACTCACTACTCATGTTTCAGGATGGTTTTTGGTGCAACACCATTCACAACTGTCAGAAAACAGTCATTTTTGCTCACTCTCTATTTCCAGGATGGGTGTGGGGCTGGAAAGAGAGCAGAAGAGTGTTGTATACCACATACTACTACCTGACAGTACATGACAAAGTGGCTGAAGACTTAGGTGGTGCACAGAACTAGCCCCAACACACATGAATGGGTACAGGAGGGCTTGTGGTCTCTTGTTTAAAAATGACTAACTGGACAATACTTTAATGTTTGTTTCTTGGATTTTTATCCTATTGCTAAAACCAATGAGTGATGAACCACAAAAACCAACACATAAATAGAACATATCATCATCACAGATGCTTATATTAAAAAATTACAAACAACTTTCCAAGGTCACAATCCTATGCATGTATAGACAGAAAAAGTTGCACGATCCCAAGCAGCCCCTAGTTAGCCTTGAGCATGTTAGAAGTTGTCAGCCTTTCTCCTGTCTAAATACGCACAGGTGTACCTGTGGGAGCTTCTCTCCTGTTTGAAAAACAAATAAAAGCTTTCCTTAGAAACAGTTATGCTTCTGTATAAACTAAACACTTACGAACTTTTGGAATTCCTTTGAATTCACAATTACAAGCTATTTCAACTTTTGCTGCCATTGTAGCAACAACTTATAGATCTCTATCCACAACTATCATATATGAACACAATCTATATTAAATTTTCAACATTTCTGTAGGGAAAAAAGGTATATTATTTTCCATTCCTTTGTGATTAAGTGACACAGGAATCACATATTCATTAATTCATTCCCATTAAGACATTGATTCACAAAAGTGATATTAGAACTCAGCATAACAAAACTAAGCAGAGCAAAGTGCAAAACAAAATAAACATTGTACATGGTACAATGAAAGATATCATCAAGCTTTCCCCAACTGGTGCTCTCTAGATGTTTCAGGTGATGTCTCTGATAGGAGTTTGTCCAAATCATCTGGAAATCACCACCTGAGAAGCCCGAGCCAGTACATTAAAGATAGAGGATACCCTAAAACTCTATATAGGTACAAAATTCAAAAAATATTATTTTATATTTGTGCAACTAGATTGGATCATATATTCTGATTTATAAACAGAATGTATTTCTCATACTATATTGAAAGTTGACATAATAAAACTTCTAACCTTTTGGCATATTTGAGACTTTAAAGTAGTGCAATATATTTTATGAAATATTTTTGAGTTGTAAGAAAGACAAGTATAAATATTTAAATACATAAAATAGAACTAAATATTAACATGTTTCTTGGTCTTTAATGTTAACAACATGACAAAATTGAAAGAATGGAAAAGGACCAGTTTAAGAACTGTTCCTAACCATTATTCTTCACAATTTTGTTCATTCCTCAAAAAATATCCAGTATTGTCTGTGATAATTTCCCCATATGTTTGAACCTTCATTCCAATATCTTAAATGATGAAGGCATAGCTTCTTTCATTAGTCAGACTTTTCAGTCTATACATAAGGTATAGTGTTTTGTTCTGGTGCTAATAATGGCATTTATTTTTCCTGTGCTATTAAGCTATTACTTTAGTTTAAACATCACATATGAAATTTTGCCTTTCAATAGCCATTTTGGTTTCTTAAAGATAATTTATTGAAAACATTTATCTCCCGCTTTGTCCTGAAGCATAGCTCAAAGTAGCCATTTTAAACCTCTAATATTTCTCCTTTCTCTTAAAACATATTTGAACATCTGCTGCAATTTCTGTACTATTTTCAGCATGATTTCAGTAGTAATAAAACATTAGCCCCTCCTTGCATATTTTAGACATTAAAACAGATTTTCAGAGCAACAGCCTCTTCTGTCTAAGGCAACACTGGGAATGAGGAGCAGAGCGGGATTGAACTTGCCAGTCCAAGACAATTTTCTGTTGAAGGTGGAGCTCAAATGGTACCTCCCACAACCAGGGCCAACATTTCACAAGTCTTTCTGCATCATTCCTTCTTTCAACAACCTTCATTCATCTTACCCCCAAAGCAGGTCACTTCTACCAGCGGAGCAGCAGTACTGGAGCCCCTGTGTGTGATGCACAGAGACCATGAAGAAGAGCAGCAGGAACCACACATCAGGCTGAGTTACAGACATGCCGTAACTTCCTTGCTCCACAATCTGGCTAAAAGTGGGCAGGGATGCAGATGTTGCTGGCAAGAGTATCTGGCCCAGCTCATTGTTGAGTCATTTAAGAAGCAGACTGACAACCATCTGTTGCCTAGGACTGCTACAGGTGGCCAGTCCCTGTGGCCTGTGTGTCCAAATGGCTGCTGCCTCTTCACAACTTGCTGGACTAGGGTCCTTGCCTCTTGCCACTTGGGACATCGTCAAAGATAGAGCAACAAATTAACTTCAAGCAAACATCCAACTGAACTGCAGTAAAGCAACACACATTATTATGAGGAAGACAAAAACTCAGGTATCACATTTGCCAATATGGGAACTTGGTAGGTCCAATAAGTACCAACAGACCTCAACAAAGGAAACACACCAAGAAAAATATGTTCTGTCCTTCTCCTGGATTGTGCAACTCTTCTACTCTGATCCAGGCAGAAAGTCCTCCTGGTTAAGCTAGGTAATTTTAAACCCCGGAGTTTTAGGGGGACCCTCTTTAGATGGCCACGTGTATGCTTTTAGCTGTGAAGCACACAATGAACTTTCCTCTTTCCCTCCTTCAGCCACCACTCCATGCTTTACAGCAGCTTCTGCATTCCTGAGGTATTAGAACCACATGAAAACTGCCAAGCCTGTTTTTCAAAAAAGGCTAAACAAGTGCTGTTTCACATTTTAGTCGCTTAAAACATACAAGTGCCATAACTATAAGAATAAAATGGCATTTGCTTCTATACCCACTGCTTTGTGGGTGGTAATGGATTCTGGTCCTGAGGTCCAACCCTGACTGCCCCAGTGACAGCAGCACAAAGCCTACAGGTGCAAGGATTAGGGCATCCTGAGCAGACAATTCAGCCAGCAAGAAGCCCACAACTGGTCCTCCGCAGGTGGTGCTGCCTGTCATTTCCCATTTCTTTCTGCATCAGATGAAAACAACATCCCCATCAAAGGGAAAAGAAATGTGATAACTATAGTGTTTTGCCACTTTTTTTTTGTTCTCTCTTTGTTCGCTTAGTAGAATATGAATTAGTTGTAAGAAAGAAGCTAGGTCTTATCTCAACAGTTAGTTTCATGGCTGTCATATGCAACTGGCACACTTTTTTTGAAACTGCATCTTAAATGACAAAGCCTAGGTGGGAATTGGAGCTGATCGGGGTTTAATCTGAGGGCAGGGTCATAGTGGTTTGGACCCAGACATTACTCTGCATGCTGGGACTCAGCCTTGGAACACGTACAGTTCTAACAGAGAATGTCTGAAGGCCAATTCACATACTAAATTTATTTCTTTCCATTGATAGAAAGGGCATACCTCTGTGAGTTCAGAATTTGTACAATGTAACCTTCGTGGCAACCACCATTCTAAAATGGACTCCCCTAATTGTGGTAGTGCTGTGGCACCCTGTCAAACTGCTATGCGAACTGAAGAGACAGTTGGAGAACCTGTAGCTCTCTTCAAATACATGCAGACTGCCTTTCAGTCCTCAGAACCCAAGCAAACTGCACAAAACTGGAATGATAGGAAAAGGCTTTCAGAAGATTGTGCATGTCTCATACACACACACTTGAGTTCTAGTGCCTCTCATTTCAGAACATTTTCTGACAGAGTTTGGAAGCATCCTGGGTATGGATGTGATGGCTGCACATGCAGATTTCTTGCAGGCGCTCACATGGTGTATACCAATCAGCAAAGGTGGTGTTAAGGAATGGCTCAGGAAGGCTAGATACTCCAATCTTTCATTTAGATACCTGCGTCTCTGAAAAGCCCCCTGCCCTCTGCCCTGTTGTCCATGGATACTCGCTGAAATACAGGCATGGGGGCCCTAATCACTGCTGCACCTGAGCCCCTTGGCTCATGCTGCCCCCCACCTTCTTCCTTAGTTCCCCCCCTTGAAACGGAATGTCCTTCTCTTCCTTGTCCATGTAACCTTGTTTACAAGTAGAAGTGTCCTTAAGAAACAGGCTCCTTTACAAATACACTTAATTAGCAACATATGTGAATTGGCATATGCAAATTTGTGGGGGAATCTCCTGTGGGCCTGAACCCTTGTTCTCCAATTCATCATTTTGGTACCTAGCAGTGCCCCTGTTCCAAGACATGTAACTGAGCAACAGCAAGAAAAAAACCAAACCAAACTCCATGTGTACAACTCGGGACCTTCTCCACAGATCACACGTTCCTTCTTACACGCCTCGCAAATTGTAACCATGTGAAATGGCCCTCAATGGCCCACGGCAAGCCCTAACGAGAGCGCGCAAGTCTTCCCACGATGTTTCACAATTTTCCAGCTTCAGGATTTAAAATAAATGTATAATCTATCATGATCAAAAGTGGGAAAGAATGAAGGCGGGAAGGCCAAGCTGGCTCAAAACAATTCCCCTCGAGAAAGTAAAATGAAACATTTAAAATAAGCTGTACGCAGAATAAGCACAGCTCGAGAAAGGTTCATACGGCAAAGCAAAACCCACGACCCCGCGGGCCGGGAAGCGGCTGCGGGAAGTTTCGGCGAGGACTGCCTTTCTGCCTCCCTCCCGCAGGGCGAGCAGCGCCTTCCCACGGCCACTCGCCAGCGTGACAGCGCCCCCTCCCCAGCCCGCCGGCCCTCCGGTTTACTTCACCGTCTGTCACGGTCATGTCAGCGTCTTCCTCCCGCGGCTGCACCTCCAGCCGGAGCACTTTCTGGCCGGGGTTGGAGAGGTGAAGCCCCTCCAGGAGCTGCTCCTCGCTGAGCAAAAGCAGCTTCACGCTGTACTGCAGGAGCCGGGGCGGTGGACTCGTCGCAGCCATGGAGTCCTCCCCTGCCGCCTCCTCTCCTAGCAGCCCGGCCAGCCACGCACAACAGCGGGGGCGGCTGGCGAGGCTGGTTCCTCCGGCAGGGGCAAGGGGGCAGGGGCAGGGGCAGGGCAGCGTCGCGCTCCGGGCACCTTACCCACCCCCTTCGCCGCCTCACGCGAGCAACTCGGGAGAGAGTAGCCTAAGGAGGGAAGAGGGTGGCAGCAATGGGAGCAACTCGGGCTGGGCTTCTCTGATAAACAAGCTCCCCATCTGAGACGCCTCCTCGCCCTCTCCTGCATTTGCAGCAAACCAGACGCTCGCTCGCTTCCCTGCTCGCTTCCCCCCCACCTTCCTCCTGCGCCTCCCCCGGAGGGGGGGAATTAAATCCCTTCAGTCAAGAAGAAAGCTTTGCGCGCGCGCTGAGGATATGTAAAGCGCCCAACTGCGTGTGTGGTGCAAAGCCTTGTTCGCGTTGTGCGGAGCGACGCTCGCCGGTCACCTCTGGAACTGCACTTGCGGGAGATTTTAGCAAAACGGCCGCAGGCGAAGCTCATCCGCTGGCTGGCTGGCTGGCTGGCTGGCTATTTATTTATTTATTTATCTAAGTCGTGATAGCCATAGAAATAGTTCCTGCGCCACCTGTGTTTGGGGGCAGTTGTATTCGTGGCACAGCACGAGTGGTCAGCGATTCCCTGCAGGCGTTTAAATATGGTCAGGATTATGTATTGACTGTACTTCTATCCCACCTTTGTACCTGTAAGGTACCCAGGGCGGCTGACATAGTCGTTGTCCTCAACAACCCTGTGAAGTGTGTTAGGCTGAGAGTCAGAGACTGGCCCAGTGAGCTTCCCAGCACCAGTTCAACTCTCTAAGCACCTTCTGCCTGGCACTTTTCTGCTGCCAGAAGAGACACTGTGCCTTTTAATAGCTGTTGAGCAGACAGAAATGGAGCAAGAGAAGTTTAGCTGGAGATGAAGTATTGCATTTAGACGGCTCTTCTAAATGTCTACATGCTATTTACTTATAAAAAGGCACAGGAGTCCTCATCACCGATGAAGAGTCAAGAGTTCCTGCCCTGAGACAATATAAAGGGCAGGATATTAAAACTTTAAATAAATAAATAGGTTCCTTCTTTAAAATTGTCCTCTGTATATTTGTAGTTACCTTAATGCCAGCTGAAATTTGTGGGGAAGGGAGCAGTGTTGTAAAGTTTTTTTTAAAAAAGCATAAGATATAAAAATTGGAAACCCCCCAGATAAAGAAGTACTTTATTTTAGAGAACTGAAAATATCCATCACTGAATAACAACACCATAAAATTTTGTTTTATAGGGATATTTGGGAGTGCCAAAATACAAACAATATTTCTTTAGGCAAAATGGGATAAAATTACTAAATACTGGAGACAAAAGAAGAACAATATAATTTTTGAAAACTTTGTAGTATACAAGTTGGTTTAGAAACGTTGGTTAGAAACATAATGAATTGTAGAACTGTTTTTGATATTTATAAAGCACTTTTGATCAAATGATAACACTATACTTTAAACTTTAAATAATCTCTCAGTAGATCATATGCTTTGAATAGATCACATTGGACTTAACTTTGGTTTCATTGGTACTTTATTTTACTCTTCTAGAGGTGGAATTAGTTGTGTAAATATATATTCTAGAAATGCTAACAAGCCAAAGGAATACATTTTCCTTATGGTAGATTGAGCAATCCCTTTTTAACTCCTGGTGTCCCCAAAAACTAGTTCAGGCCATGAAAGTGGTATTTCAAATAGGGTATTGTGTTTCATATACAATCATAACAATTATACTTTAGAGATGGGTTAAATATAGCATCTACAACAATTTCTCCACATCCAAGAAAACAGAAGATTTGGTGTTGAAATGAAAATCAATGTCCTTGCAAGTATTATAAACATTCTAGTTGCTTGGGGAAAGTAAGCAGATAAGTGAGTATCTAGGTGTAAGGGAATTTGCTAACTATTAGGAGATAACACACACAATATTTTTTCTGAAAGCACCATAACAAGCTCTTTAAATAACATTAACTGAATATTGGGCATGAATTTTTCAAAGGCTCCAAAACAAATATTCTCATACTGATTAGTTTTCCAACCTAACTTCAGTCACAAAAAGGACAGCATATATATCACATATAAGCTAGCAATCAATGCATTTATTTGCATAGAATCCCCATGCTACCCCAGTTGTGGTTTTTAGATAGTGTAAATTTGGAAAAATAGATTGAATAAGTAAAAGGTTTAAAATGGAGAAGGGCTGTACTGCTTATTGGCAACTTTTTTTGCTTTCATTTAATTTATATCAACCAATTTGCCCAGAAGGTGTCACTGTTATGTTTTTAAAATATTGCAGTATATTAATCTAGTAGCAGGTTTTTGTAAAAAGCAAAACAAAAACAAAATCCACCAAGTGAGTGGTTCTAGAACTAGCTAGTTATCTGTCAAGCCAGAAGGTGCACTGACATTATTATCCATACTAGAAAAAAATATGGTGCAAAACAGCCCTAATTAGTTTCATAAGAACACCAGAAAAGCCATGCTGAATCAGACAAAAGGTTTGATTGGCACACAAGGTGGCAAGCCAGCTGCCCACAGGATCCCTCAAGCAGAATGGGTGCAAGAGCTCCTCCTGCCAAGCAGCTCAGCAACTGGTGTATGCAAGCAGGCAGGAGACAGCACACAGCTAGCAAAGCTAGAAGCCAATGATAACCTCCTTGTTCATGTACCTGTCCATTCCCCTTTTAAAGCCATCCAGATTGCTGGCCATCACCACCTCCCAAGGCAGTGAATTCCATAATTTAACTATATGTTGTGTGAAGAAGTACTTCATTTTATCTGTCCTGAACCTCTCACCTTTCAACTTCATGGGATGACCCTGGGTTCGAGTGTTATGGGAGAGGGAGAAAAATTTCTCCCTCTCTACTTCCTTCAGACTTGAATTATTTTAAGCACCTCCCCCTTGCTTGCCTTTTTTCTAAGCTAAATGGTCCCTGTTGTTGCAACTGCTCCTCATAGTTGAGCTGCTTCAATCCCCTGATCATTTTGTTGCCTTTCTTTGTACTTTTTCCACCTCAATAATATCCTTTATGCATCAGTTTACACTAGATCATCTTGAACTCCATTTTGATGCCCATTCTCCCAGATCCCTTTAGAAATATCCTTTTGGAGCTCCTCACCATCCCTTTTGGTTAACTGCCCTAAAAAGTTCTGTATCATCCGCAAACCTGGCCAGTTTACTACACACTCCTAATTCCATTGCCATTTAGACATCATTTTACAGGGAGTAATGTGGAGGTAAATCTGGATCCTAGTTTTATCTTCTTTTCTTTTGAGAGACCCACTAGCCAAAGACAGCACCTTTCAATGCTGTTATCAAATTTGTTCTTGGAAATGTGGGTGCCAACTTTCACCCAAAGCATCCTCTTTTGGGCAAAAAGGGCTTGCCAATTTAGAAAGCTGCATGGACCACAGCCTGCTGTAGTGTGATTCCTGGATTGTGCTAAGGGCATAGGACCATCTCCTTTTAGCCATTAAATATGTCCAAGAATTGGAGGGGGAAGAAAAACATTTCAGCCACATGGAGACCGAGTAAATTTGTCATTCTCATCTCACACATTTATAAAGCGGACATTGTGCATACCCCTGGCACTGTGCTTCTGCAGTGTCCCTGCCACCTGAAGCTCATAGACTTGCATGTCTGGTTGCACCAGTGCTTTGTAATCAGCTTGTAGGCTTTTGTTCAACTCCTGCACAAGTTGTGGAATGCCAGGATTATACCATGCAAAAGCCTCATCCTGCTGGGCCTCCCTCAGAAAAGCAAGGTTTTAGAAGATAAAGCACATTGGGAACAGTGTTCTGTGGCTTCCATAAGCTAAGAAACATAATCCTATTAAATTGGATTTTGTGGCAGCCATGCAAACTATTTCTTTCCTCCTAGCATACTGAGCTCAATCGATCATTTTCTTTTTCTCACATTGTCCCTAAGAGAGCTTCAGCTGTTGGGCAGTATAGAAATTAATTAATTAATTAATTAATTAATTAATTAAAACCTTATGAGGGAAATAAGTGGTCTAGAAAAGTGCCCAGAACAAAGCCAGGTCATTAAGAAATTTAAACATAACTCCAAAACATATACACAAAGGGAGGCTGTCTCCTTCAGAAGTTCATTGGATGGTGACTTGGAAAGGCCTTTTTTCTGTAGAAATCCGTGGAAAGGGAGGCCAGGTTTCCTTCCTCCCTCACTAGCAGGCAAAGATCATTTTATTCCAGCAGGCCCTTGCATGCAAGTGAGCCTACTGGGTAGGATGCGTTTTTTATTTTGCATTGTGCTTTTAATGGTGTTTTAATATATTTGGTTTTACGAAGGTTTTGTTTTGTGAAAGTATAAATCCAATCCATCAATCTTGTGCCTTGTCAAATAAGATATCATGAAATACCATTACAGTTTAACTAAGTATGCACACTTAAAATTGTATGAAGTATTTTATCACACAGTCCTGGCCAAGGCTACTGGATCATTATTGCATCCCTCTGGAAAAGCAACAGAATGGACATGTGTGAGATGTGAGCTCAACCTTTTCAGACCACAAACATTATTTGAATAGGAGTTCATGAGATCTGTAGTGGTTGTTATACTCTCAACAGTGGTGTAAGTTCTGTTAAATTTGTGCAATGACCTTCTTTCCTATATATTTTCTTCTTTTTACTGTACTTTCTGAAAATAAATTTATAAACATTAGAAGAAAAATAAAACAGTGATGCAAGTTCCATGCTCAGAAATGCTCGTTAATTTATTCTCTGCCTTGTCCATCAGAATAAAGACGGAATGGCTTCATTTATGTGTCTAATTTTCTTTAAGAACACCAGCATATAATTATGATGCCATGAAAAGGGGGGCCACTCATTTCATTCTTCTGGAACTAAATTACCGTACTTTGCACATTGTGCTGAGTTTCTATTTCAGTACACTTGATGTAGTAGGACTTTGACAGAAAGGAAACAGGTCTAGCTTATGTACCAAAATGCCAGCTTCATAATATTTGATGATCCAAATGTTATGCTGCATAGCTAAGTTGGCATGAGGTGTGGGAAATGTTTAGAATGGTATGGCTGGTTTTAAAAAGGTTTAGGTAAGAATGGCTTTGCTATCTCAGATTGAGCCTGCAATCCTATGCACACCTACCAGGGAATAAGCACCACTGAAACCCATAGGGCTGACCTCTCAGTTTACATGTATGGATTCTGCTGCTAAGAATTTCGTCCAGTACCATCTTCAGACTGAAACTCAGGGCTAAAAACCTTCCAGAAACATTTTCTTCCTTTCCCTTTAATTTTCTTTCAATATCCAGCCCAAAGAAAAGTTCTGGGTCACTTGAAAACTCACTGGCTTCCTTGAATCTTAACAAGAGACTTATTTCAGTGTTCAGGTTTGAGTTTAGTTCCAGTGGACTGACCCTGAAGCTTGTTTTTATTTGCCATCTCAGTTGAATCTTTTATTGCAGAATGCCTGTGGTCTGTGCAACAGCTGAGCTAGAACACTAGAAGTGTGTAGTCTGTTCCTCTTAACATTTACTCTGAAGAAAGCTCCATTGAGTTCACTTGAACTTATGCCCAAAGAAGTACATACTCCACAGGGCTGCAAGGAGCCAATTTAATCCCCTTACTTCAGCAGAACTCCATTCTGGCTGGAATAGCTAGATTTGCCATAAAAATGTATGGACTGTATGCAGTTGTGTGTAATTTTTATCTCTCATCATCTTATGTGTACCTTTAACAGTAGTTCCACTGAGTAACCATCCAGGCTCTTGGGAATTAATTGGTTTTTTCTAAAATCTTAAATTTAAAAGGCAGGAATATGGATGGTGTGATGGGATGGACAGTTGGAGCCATATAGATCAAGCCGCTCTTGCCTGCATACCCTAAGATTGAAGACTCATTCTACTAGGTACTAAGAAGGAATGCCAAAAATACTATTTTTTGAAGTAAGTGTTTATTTCAAAACAGCTCAAATGTGTAGCCCTCTACCAAACAAGCACCACAGCTCCAGCGTTACTCAGTTTTTAAATGTTTTTATCTGGCAATCATAACAATGAATAAGGCACACAACCCAAGTGCAACAAAATGATTGCTCAGTATTTTGCTATGAGCCACATGGCATTTTAGATTATTTGTAGGAGTTAATATCAAGACATTCTGGCATTCTCCCAGATTTCTGCAATGTTACTGAAATAAACTGCTGGGAATGGCAAAGTAAAAGATTGAATTGTATTCAGAGATATCCATCTGCCAGTGGAATGGACACTACTTATGGCATGCACCCCCCTCCAATCTGCAGCCCCCCACTAATGAAGCCAATTTCGGGGGCATGTAGAATATGTGCAAGGGGAAGGACAGGAAGGCAAGGTATTGTTGCATAAATGCTTGATTGGATGTTGCCCACAATTGTTAAGAATATATATACAGGAACATTGAATTAAAGTCATAACTATGAACACTTAACTGGCAGTGTAAATAGTGAATGCCCTGAACACATACTTTCTGCTGGATTCATTTGTACATTAGCAAAACAATCTCATTCGTGTCTACTCAGAGTCCAACTGAATTCAGTGAAACTTATTCTGTTTGTTTTTACACAATAGTTTCTCTTGACTAATCCTTTAGGATCTTGGGAATTCAGTGAATTAGCTGTTCCAAGATCTTAAACGTAAGGGGCAGGAATATAGAAACAAAACAAGTGAGAAGGGTCCTCCTGGGCCATCTAGTCTGACCCTGGGCTCCAGCTGGCTCCACTCATGATGATGGTGCCTCAACCACCTCCCTTGGAAGCCTATTCCATATCCTAGGGGTCCTAACCATCAGAAAGCACTTCCTGACATCCAACCTGAAGCTTAGTTCCTTGAACTTTGCCCTCCACTGCAGGGAAGAACAGGTCATGGCTCTCCTCCACATGACATCCCCTCACATACCTGTAAGTTGCTAAAAGATCCCCTCAGAGATTCCAGGCTGAAACGACCCAGTTCCCTCAACCTCTCCTGATATGTCATCCCTCCCAACTGGGCTACCATTCTTGTGACCCTGTGCTGAACTGATTCTAACCTAGCTATGTCTCTTCTATAATCTGGAGCCCAGTTCTGGATGCAGCACTCCAGTTGTGGGCACACCAGAGTCATGTAAAGCATTATCAACATCTCCCTAGATCTGGAAGCTATGCTTCTGGCTATATGTCCAAGGGTGGCATTTGCCTTCTTAAGCGCTGCATCACAGTTTGGCTGAAATATTTGATTTTACTAAATAAGGATATGTACATAATATATTTCTGTGAATGACTCCAAACAGGTCATGTACCTATATGTTAATAAGCTCCTTAGAGTAACATATATGGAATGGATCATCAGTTAAGACAAACAGGAAGCTTGAAGTACTGCACATGTTCATTGGTGCTGATGCAGATCAGCACCGGGTATTCAGTTTCATTTTCCCAGTATTTCCCTATAAATAGTTCCCATGTATTTGTAAATTGCATACAACAGAAGATACTAAGGATATGTCTTTCCTTCCAAAATAATAATAAAAAACCACGAATACATAAGTGATGTCGCCGATTTCTAAAATAATACCCTCCACAATTTCTTTATAAAAATTCAAACATTTCAAATATTTGTAACAAGAAAACCAATTTATTGATTTTAAAAGACAAGACACAATTTTGTTTTGAAAAACACAAGAAAGCTAGCCTGAGTTCAAGTCTGAAATATTCAGAAAAATCCTACTATCTTTAGTATGTTCCAGTCATTTGTTTAAACAACACACTAAAAGTTAATATATATTTTTATAATTATAAAAGTTCCCCAGTTATTGTACAGTACACAATACAAATTGCCCACAAACTATTATTTAGCTCCTGCCAATTTTGAGAGGACATGATATACTAAAAGATTTAGCATTTTCACAAAAATCACATCAGGAAATACATATTTACAAAATCAAATACATTATACAAAACCCATCACGTTATTCTGTAAAGATGTTTTCTTTAAATAATTAAAAATTATATTCAACTGTAATCCAAAAACTGGAAAAGAACATTACATTATCTCACACATACAATCTACAAAAAGTTGCTTACCTCATTTACATTATATATCCAGTCAATTGGAAAATAAAAAGATCCAATGTCTACTAGTGTTTCCTGCATCTCTGTGCTTGTGGGACTGAAAAGCATGATCTGCCACTTACCAAGTGAAATTTAAATGATGGCACTTAACGAAAACAAAGCAAAAAAACTTATGAACACAATTTATCGAAGGTAAGAAAGCCCTGAGTGATAGTCAAGTTAGTGATTAGTAAGAACTAAAATCAACTCCATTAAGCAGGCATGAATTTCCCAAATTTTTATAAAGGCACCCAAAAGTTTATTTAGCTAGTATTGAAAGTCACTATAAAATGGGAAATTAAAGTGTAAGGGAGAAATCTGCTTTGGTTAAAACTTTTATTTTTGATAATTGTATGTTGAAAACATTGACACTATAAATAGAATTTCGAATTTGTTTTCATGTCTAGAAATAAACATGATCCCCCAAACAACCTGGGATCATATATTATGTCTTGTGTAAGAAAAAGATCTGGGAATTTTAATAGATAGCTAATGGACCCAATAAGATCCATCCGAATCCAAAATACATTTGAGTTTTAGTCTCAAGATGTTAACGTTATGCAACACACTTTCTGTCTTGCTTTACAGTTATATTTACTGCATTGTAGATCAACTATTCAAGGCCACATTTCACTTTAAAAATGTGATTTAAAAATAATCCCTATTTAAATAGTATTGATACTCATACTTGAAAATTTTCTCTAACCTTGCCATAAATGGTGTCTCCACTAATTCTGCAGAAGTTTAATGCTACCTTGCCTAGCAGATCAGTGGTGGAAAGGAGCCACTCACCAGTCCTGGAACTATGCTGTTTTAAGTAACACTAAGCTCCCATGGAATATGATATCACTACAGCCCCCTCCAGTTCTCACTGATGTTGAATCATATTTATTTCTCTGACCTCAAATGAGCACAGGTGCAAAAGGCATTGTCCTTAGAGCAGTGCTGCTACATATTTTCCATGTGGTTTGTAAGGGAGGCTGCTCAGCACCAGGGCTTGGTGGATTGCATCAGAAGCGAGGCTTATGGTATGTGATGTTTGGCATTCAACCATGTATTCTTGTGTATGTTGTTTTATTCTATCAATTTAACTGAGAAATTCTTACCAAGTATTACTCAGGGCTTCCAATCCCTACAGAACTTACTTAAAAAAAAAAAAAAAAGAAAAGAAACTAAAAAAGAGAACAAAAATCTAGTAAAACTGAAGTCAAATTATTTTGAAAACAAGGCATGTTACTTCAGCCAAAATACCCTAGGCAGTCACTTTGTAAGTGGCTTTTAACTCTTAAGTAAAATTGGTAACGTAAACTCAGTTCTACTGGCACATAAAATCACTAGCAGCAATGATCAAGGCATGCAAACTGAGAAGCATTTACAGTAAATTATTATGAATAATAAATTCAAAAACCCTTTGAGTATTGCATTTTTAACTATACATCAATTTGAATAACTTATCTGAGTAAGAAAAGGGGCTTGGTTTGGTTCCCCCCCCCATTATAGTATTTCAGCAATCCAGTATCCTCCACTGCTTACTATGCTACTTGGAATTAATGGACTAAAATTGTGCAAGCTACTATGTAGAGCAGGCCTGTTCAAGTTGTGATCCACTGTGATCTGCTAAATGCTTAACCACGGCCCTACTGAGGTGATTTGAAACAGGGCACGATACTAGATTTATCAAACCTCGGGGAGGCCAACGTGCATGGATAAGTGAGCTGTGGCTGATCTGGAACCTGATCAAGGGAATGGATTTGCTTGCCATTTACTACTATACTTTTCTTTTTTACTTAACTTACCACTTTATCACTGGTGCCCTATACTTACATGAAAATTGTCTTAAATTCTGAATTCCTTAGAAATTCATTCAGCAACAAACCTGGAGGTGGAATTTTGTAGGGAATTAAGGCTGCAATTCAACAAAATTACATAGAGTTAAAACAACATGCAGAGTCAGAGGTTTCTATAAGAACCACACGTGCTCACGCCATAGAAAAAGCAAAATGTTTAGTTTCAAAGTGTGGCTAGTCTTCAACAGTATAGTGACTGATGTAGAAAATTCAAAGACACCTCTGACTCTACAAATGGTCACGTATAAGATAACTAGATGTCATGGTAGTACCCCGTGTATGACTATAACAGAGGTGTGCAACCTTTTGGCCCACCAGATATTTTGGACCCACAATTTTCCTCAGCCCTAGTCAGCCTAGGCAATAATAAAGAATGATGGGAGTTGTAGGCTGAAAATGCTGGCGGGCCACAAGTTACCCATTCCTGGTCAACAAAAATGGTAGTACATAGGATTGTATCAAATGTTGTCTTTCTGCCAGCAGAACAGACACCACTGACAGACTGAATTCACTTTCCTCTCTGCAGGTCCCACCCACAGATATGACCTAAAGGGCTGAGGGTCGCTCCAGAGCAGATCTGGGGGGCTGCACATGGATGGGAGGAAAAATTCCAGTCGTGTGAGTAGGCTTCTGCTCAAACAATATTGGATTTAGCCTATAGAATCTAACTCCAAAGGTTCTTTAAAATTCAGATCTTTGAAAAACAATTCCTATTTACAGATTTTAATAGTACTCTAAAGACTGTTATTATGAAAAAAATATGTTCTTATTAAACTTCTAATTGTAAATACATTTTAGGTAATTTACAATTCAGGTTTCTTTGATCAAATAACTGCTCCCTAAAATACTAGAAGTACTAGTCTCTGTAGGCAGTATAAACAAATGGCAGTGAATTTTTATTCTAAATATATATAACCTAATAATCAGATGTCTGCCTCAAATTCAAGTATTTATTCTAGAGAAAAACATTTACAACAAAGCTAGATCTTAGTTAGTTAAAATGTCTATAATGGACAGGACTGAGTTATTTTAATTTCTATGTAAACTATGAATGACAGAAATGTTAATCATCTCTTTTCTTTTTTTAAAGAACTTTAAGGGAGGGCATTCAGTGGTCTTCGCGTAGGGCTTCTTAGCTTCATAGCTCCTAGACCTTGCTTCTTTAAAAGCCTGTGTACAAGTAGTATTCATTAAAACAGACTGCTGTTGTTCAGGGCAGGCACAGTGTACTTACAATTATCTTTAAAAAGACGTACCAATCACATTAACTTACAATGCTCAAAGGGTTAATGCAAGGTATTACCATCAAAATAATTTTCTAACACTAGAACTAAGCACTGCATTTATGCTTCTATTCCAGTTTTCTTTAGTCACTAAACAAACACCCTAGCAACAGTACTAGAATTCCCTTTCCATATATATAGAGACTGACCTGTAATGCAGGAATAAGGGCCCAATTTTCACAACTGGCACTGCTCTCACAAATCAGTGTTATATATTCTGCAATTAGTGTTATATGCATGTTTAACCTTTTTTTCCTTAAGGTAACATTTTTATAAAACTATTCTGTAAATGAAATTAGGTTGTAGTCAGTATCAAATCAATCTATTTCTTGCCTATTTATGTTATGGAAGCTATGAAGACCTTCAAAGTTCTACTGAGAATAATTTGAGAAAAGTGTTTCCAATGCTTTAAAATACCTCGTTTTAAATTTAAAAAATTGTATGTAGATCTGTACATTCCTGAATGACGGCACCATCAGTACTGTTTTAATTATCATCACCCATGCTGAACCCAATGTGGTAACATTGCACATTGGTAACTTTAAAACGATGATCTCTATCTAAAGCAATGCTGTTATTCCAAGTTACAATACAAAAATAAGCACAAAACAAAGAATTCTGACAAGACAGTAGAAACATTTGTTAGTTTAAAGTGACAGCACCAACTATTTTGCATTCCTGAAGTGTTTATGAAAACTGGGCCCTGGTTCTGAATAAGAAGTTTAAATTGTATTGTCCATATTGATCACTGCATTACTTGTTCAAGAGCCAAAAAGTCTTCATTTAAAAATGCATTATTACTTTAACCAGCTGTTAAAGTCAAATTGCACACAAATCATACAAGTTCATTCTCCTGCAATGCTCCCCAAAGTACCTCACCTATGGATGTATTCTCAGAGCTATGGAGTTAATATCTGTATTTTATGCTGCACATATAACCTTATTTTGTTTAAGATCATATCCGTGATTCAAAGCATTACGTGGGGACCACATGTGCGTATGCCAGAGATTCTGAGACCTCTTCCCTGTGGACCCACTGCAGCAGCATTCAAAGTACAAAGGTCCGGTAAATGAAACATAGATTTGGGGAAACCCTTTTATGTACACACAAAACTTGGGTGCATGCATGGGAGTCTTTAGATCCCAACCCTTATACAACACATCTGTCAAAATGTTTACAAATGTGTATCAGCAGAAGTAGTAAAATATTGGAAGGCTACCTAAACTGACGTGGCTTACTGATTATACTGAAGGGCCTCTAGAGATACTGCAGGTCATTGGGCCCATATGATTTGTAAGGCCTGCTGGTGGCTCACAATAAATCCAACATTCAGAAGTAATTATCAGCTGGCATTAAATCAGGTAATAATAATGTACAGTACATATTTAAGTTAATGAAAATTACTATTCTTCCACTTTATTTTTATTAACAACTTATCAAAGTTATTAACTTATTCTGATTCATTTTCTGGATGTCAATATCCATCTTATTTGCATGGTTCCAATACAGACCAGAATGTCTCTTTGTATCAGGATACATGTCTTGATCTTTTTGGCACACTGAATACAGTGATCAATTAGGGAGGGTAATGTTGGGGGGGAGGGGAGTTGATTCACAGAGATTTACAAGCCCTGTCTCTCTCAGAGAACTAAATTTGCATCTTTCTCATTTCTCTACAAACAAAATCCAACATTAAAAATGAAAAGGACAATGATAAGAAAACATATGATTTTGCCATCTGAAAAGGATTATACCAGTAAATAAGTCACATCTAATACAGAACAACCTTACTAGACCCTTAAAAAACTATGCTGAAAAATGTTTATCTGTTTTTACATTTAATTTCACTGTATTGAAGTGTAAACATTTCATAATGCACAATGAGAGGGAATAACTATCACAGCTTAGTTTGCTTTTATTTAGATTTTAAATTTGGTGAGGGGTGCAGACGTGATGGATTTTGAGGGGAAAAATAACACATTTAAGCAACAGTGAACAGAATCATAATGGAATATATCAGTATATGTTAAATGATGTGGCAGGAATTACTAGGCATAACACCTAGCTGGGCCCACACTGCCAGTGGGCTTTGAATTTTGCAACTCTAAGCAATTCTTAAAGCTTAGTTTAGAAGCAGAAATGCTCAAATTAAAAGCAAATTAATAAATCTTTAGAAATCCTTGAAACATGAAAAATCTATGATCAAATCTGTGTGCTATAAATATACCAATAATTCCACCTGCTGTTCAAGCAATTTGGTGATTGTAACCTTAAAGATCATCTTTCAAGACAAATGACAAACAAGGCCCCTAACATTTTACCGAGGCCTTGCTATAAAGTCTGTAAATTTTCTTTGTGCTTTCCTTCATTTTTGGTTTGTTTTGGTCAAACTAAGAAAATTCAGGTATCTTTTAAATCAATTAAATGTTTAATCCATTATACTTACAACAGCTCAAATAGAAGAAAAGGGAAAAACACAGAATATGATTTAACTATTAAATAAAATAGCAGACTGACCCCCACCATATGCACAATTGAAACTATATGCTGCTTTAAAAATTTGCTTACTTTACTTTTAAAATTAAAAGCAAATAAGGGTTTAGAAATATATAGATATATATATATATAAATTCTTGTTTGGGAATTGGCTAACCTATTTTGTTGAACTTTGACATTGTTAAAGCTAGTTTTGTTTTTCACCCACTCCCCCTCCCAAGAAAATCTGATTAGTAATAAAGTGAAATTCAGCTATAAATAAGAAAGGAATAGGCTGTCACTCTGAGGGATAGTACATCTAATAAAAAAAATCTTGATTTCTGAAGACTATGTAACCTGCCCTTACTGTTTAGGGAATTTGAAAGGGTGTGGGGGAGAGAGAAAGAAAGAAGACAGGCACACTTTGTTGAATCAATGTAAGAGTTATTAACAAGAAAATCTTAGCTTCAGTTCTGTTTAAGGCACCATGTAATAGCCGAGGTACAATGATCCCTGATGTACATTCTTAAATGGCAATGGTCCGTCTAGCCACCTATTCAAATTCTACGCAATTGGGAAATAAGTACAAGTGACATGTGCCAGTTTCACTGCCTATTAAACATTTCTGTATAAAATGAAATCCACTTAAGAACCAGGAATTATTTTGAGCAAAGTTACAATGCAGGTTGCTACATTCCTTGCATCCTATAAACTACCTTTAACAAGAGCAGCAGATTGAACTATCACGATGAAAAGGACATGGAATTAAAAAAGTCATCTGAAAGGAGTGGTTTCCTGCATGTCCAGTTCAGCATAAGTAGCACATACACTTAAATTAAGATGCTTTTAAAAACTTCAGTATCTAATTTCTGCAGTCCCACTGAAGAGCAGAAAGCATCTGGGTAGTGGTCCCATATGTATATGAGGTGTAATCCACCAAGCGCTACTGTCACACAACCTCCACTCATTTAAATGTGGTTTGACTCTTCCTTTGAATCCAAAGATGGTTTTGTGTGAAGCTTATGCAAACTCTATTAAAATGAATGGAGATTGCACAGAGTCAGTTGTCTAGGTAGACTTTACCTGAAATCAGTAGTCTTAAAAGAGGAGCTGGTATGCAAAAAAATAAAAATGATTCTTTAAAGGAAGCTTGCATTGTCTATAATGGTGTCATCTGTATATTTATTAAGTACACATTCCCACATGCGATCAAAGCTCTCGTTTATCCTGCAACGGTGAGAATCGCTCTTCCTCTGAGAAGACAGTCTATGTTTTCTAGCATTATAATAAATTTTCCAATATATCCCCTGAACACTCTGAAATATATCAAAATAGCATCTTCCAGTTCTCTCCAATGAAAGCTGCCTTTTAATCACCACTTTAATGCAGCTGCTGTCAAATGATCATGCCTCCAGTGTAAATCAAAGAGGAAAATTCTTGATATTTCAGAGTGCAATTAATTAAAAACCCTATTTATACGAAATCACCATGACTAACAGTTAACATTAAAATATTTTGTAAAAACTATGAAAAAATTAAATTACTTTTAATTATAAAGAGGACAAAAACATTAACATTAAGCTTCGCAAAAATGCTTCTTGACTCTTGAAACTAAGAAAACTCTTTATATTAAGCGGCCAGTGAAAAATGATTGTATTTACCAATTTTTTTTCCCAAAAGAGACCTGGCAAAATACATACACCCTATTCCATTTCACAACTCCAGTAAAAGTAATGTTCAAGCACAGATAAAATTTGACAACAGTTGACTTTCAGACTTCTTTTTTGCATCCCTTCCCTCCCCCGTGATAAGCCCAACATCAACAGGGCTAATATAATCTGGAAAAAAGAGCTTTAATATTTGTTAGACTGCAGTATATGTATTTCCAGTAGCACTGCATTGTCTGATAGTTTGAGTAGCTGTAACAATATGCTCATTGTGAAGAGGGTTCAGAAGGTTCTGCTGCACTCCACTCTCGAGCACTGGCTGCAGGCAGCCCACCTGAAAGGCCTGGCTAATTTCAGTCTTCTCTCTTTTTGCTTGTGGCTCCCCAGATTCATCCAGCTCTTCATCTATTTCACTTTCAACTTCACTGCCTTCATCTGCACGAATAAAACCACAATCAATCCTGCAATCTGAAAGAGCCATGTTAATGTAAGAGGTAATCCCTTATCAACCCTGTTATTACTCTTGAGTCAGAGCTGCTGTTTTTTTCCAGTCCATGACCAGACCCAGTGTCACATAGGTTAACTTAACTCCTGCACCTGGCTAGCCTCCTTGTTTTCCCAAAATATCCAGCTAGTCAAATAATTCACAAATTCTTAAATTTTCAATTTTTTGGAAATTTGTTTGCTTCTTGCAATCCTATTTACTGCAGTGTACATTTCTACTACTTCTCATGGTATATTTAATTCAATTGTCTACATTACAAATATACTTCCAGTTTCTGAACTATGGACTGTGTCTAGAAATGTTAGTCCACTGATAGAACTGCTTCTGTCAGCAAAGACACGAGGCAGGTCATTCCCCCTTCTCCCTGAGCACCCTCAAAATCTGCTTTGGAAGTCCTGTTGCATTTACAAACTTCTGCTAGTGTAACGTACAGTTAACACTGTATGTTTGTGAACCCAAACTTTTTTCAAGTTTACAATGTCTTTAAATACCATATTTGACACTGGTCTTTCATTCCCATCGGTTCCCCCTTCCTCCTCCTCATTTATACCTTGTCTTTTTAACTCTTGCAAGAACCCCAAGTAGCTTACAAAGTTCTCTTTCTCTGCTTTTTTCCTTGCAATAACCACCCAGTGAGGTCAGCAGTAGGTCCAAAATTACTCAGGGAGCATCATGGCTGAGTGGAGACTTGAACCCAGATCTCCTGAGTCCCAGTCCAACACTAACTGCTACACCATACTGGGTCTCATAATCTATGACCAGGAACTGAACTGGCATGCAGGTTCAGCACTGTGTCATCCTTGTATCATCTAGTTTATACTGCCAAGAGGCCCTTGTGGCAGTTTTAGAATCCCTTTAATTATTATTCAGTAACAAATATGACTTGCAACTAAAATTCACCAGGGAATTGATCCAACAGTGATTTGTGTGAGCAGAAACACTTTCTTGCACACACAAGATGTCACCATCTCCCCTGAATATCACTGGTTTACTCGTCTGGAAAGAACAGAGTTATTTTCAAATCCTCGAAGTGAATTTTCAGGGAGAACATGGAGCTACATTGAAGAGTGATCAGTAAGAAAGCCTGTCTATATGAACAGAGCTCCTCTTGTAATATAAATCAAGATCTGTAATATATTTAATACTAACCTTTGTCCATATTTCCAGGAGATACAGCATTCAAATCACCAAACTGAAGATGAAAAGATAATTAATATGTTAATTAATATGAAAAGATAATCAGTATGTTATCCTACCAATTTCCATAGTAGTCAAATCCTCTGTGAATCCTTGTGGCTCTAATCATACCTGTGGCTCCACATTAACAGCACAAGTAGCAAAAATTCACTCTATGCAGAGATCTTGGATTTTATCACTTAGCCATATGGGAAAAGTCAGTGCTCTAAGGCAGCCTTCTTTACCTTTGGTTCTCTACAGATGTTGAGTGCTATTGACCATGCTGGGAGGGAATGATAGCTTAATGCATCTGGAGGGCAGCAGTTTAAAGAAATCTGCTCTAAGATGAGTATGGTAAATAATGTTGATCCTAACACATACTACAAGGTCTTTTAATCTGAAGCTGACTACTGAGAAGCATTTAGAGACTATTGCAGAGAACAGAGAGAAGGAAGCAGCAGCAAATGAATGAAGGGCATGGAAGAATGTAAATATTTGAGAAAATAAGTGGACAGAGCACAAAAGGAGCAACAAGATTTTGAATGCTTTGTGAATGAAGGAAAAGGGGATTCACTGCCTGATTTTCAACACTTTTCATAAGACACTGTTAAAGGCAAGCTGCTCACCAGTAATTGTTCCTTGAGTGGTCGTTTGTGCATTCACACATATGGGCTATAGCTAAGCAATCATTCTGGGTGGGAGTCCCTTGCCTTCCTGTTCCCAGGAAGCATGGGGAAGGGAGTCTGGCCCACTGCACTGAAGGACCACCACTCATCCCAGACCTCCACTCCCGAAAGACTGCACTCCCAGGAGCTGACACCAAGACTGCCCAACTCACCTCCAAGATGCTCCCCAGGAACCATGTCGAGGGTGATAACACCACCCTCAGAAAGTGCCTTGGCACCATGCCCAACCATGCCAGCCTCAATGCTGTACTCAGGGCCCAGGGGACACCAGGACTGATCCTGCCCTCCCCTTATCAAGCGGGATTGCACTCTGACTGGTTCCCAGAGAATTCCCTCCCCTCACACCTTTGACGGGTGTCTTGCCCAATTCCTCCCTGCATCATAAGTGATAACATCAGAATCATGGGTCTTGTCCACTATGAAAAGAGGCTACAGGATCAAGTCTGATGCCTTCCTGCCACTTGGTGCAATCAAAGGCAGACCCCTGTCCCTGGCACTACTGTCAAATGTGGACACATGACTCTCTGAGGGGACTGTCGAGGGGGTCCATTCCAACCTGTCCAGAGATTTTTACTCTTGATATTCTATAGTACCGAAGTGGAACAGGGGAATCAGACTGATTCTAGACCTCAGAGGCATCATCTGGTTCATCACACCCAGGAAACTCTGAATGGCCACCCTGCAGGGCATCCTTCCCCTAATGCAGCAGGGAGACTGGTCTGCCTCCATCGGCCTTAAAGATTCCTATTTCCACATCACCATAGATCACAGTTACTTCCTGCACTGCCAAAGAGGGGGGTGGGGTGGGGGGGAGACTTTCTAATTTTCAGTTCTCCCATTCAGCCTCTCCACTGCATCCAGTGTCTTCACAAACTGCATGGCGGAGGTATGCACACACCTCCTTTTCCAAGGAGTACAGAGTCTCTTGATGATTGGCTCCTGGTGATCCATTCTAGGAGTGACGTATAGCACTCCGTCCACACCACCTGCTGTTTACGGAAAACCCTGGGACTGTGTCTAAATCACAAAAAAAATCTGTTCTCTCGCCTTCCCAGTCCATACTCTTCACCGGGGCTCATGCTCAGCCTGCACTCTCCTCCCAGAACCCAGAGCAGCAGCACTATACAACGTAGCAGCTGACCTCAGCACAAGAGAGTCTGCCACAGCCTGTGAGATACAAAAACTCCTCAGCCTCATGGACGACCACCACAACACTCTCCTGAACATCCCACCCTCTGCTGAGAACAGCCTACAGTAGTAGATCATCCAATACAACCTCACAGCAGGGATTTAACTTTCTCCTTCCACAGCCAATTCTCACTGTCACCACAGATGTGTGCAAGACAGGCTGGGAGGTGCACTGCAGAGACCTGCAAACCCAGGGATCCTGGAACTACAGAGAAACTGGCCAACACATCAACTTCGTAGAGATACTGACTGTACACAAAGCGTTAATCTCATTCCAAAGCTCCCTGTGTGGTTGCCATGTACAGATCACCATGGACAACACAACCACGATGTTCTATCTGAAGAAGCAAGGAGGCACACAGTCCATCCTGTTCAGCAGGCTAGCCATAGGCATATGGGACTGGTGCATCACCAAGACATTGTAACCATGGCAATTCACATAACGAGCAAAAACAACATCTTGACGGACACTCTCAGCTGCACAACAATCAACTCACATAAGCTGAAATTGAACGAGATGGTAATCCGCAACCTCTACAACAGATGGGGGATGCCATCAATGGATCTCTTCCACAGCCCACAATACAACATGCTCCCAGTTCTACTCCTGGGCAGGACAGGGAGTTGGCTCCTTTGGAGATGTCTTTCTCCTCCAATGCAGTGGGACTCTGTTCCCCATTTTTCCTCATTTCCCATAATCACCAGGACAATTGCCAAGATCAGGAGGGAGGGGATGGACTACATTCTTATTATCCCATGGTGGCTGAGACAGCCATGGTTCATCTGGCTCCTCCAACTCTCCCAGGGAAACTTCATCCACCTACCACATCACCAGAACCTCATCCCACAGGACCAGAGCTGAGTTCTTCACCCAGACTCAGGACTCTATGACTCATGGCCTGGAGGAACACCCCCTAGAGTGGGGTGGTGGTGGAGCATCACTACTGCCTGAGGTGTTATCCATACTGGACGTGGCCCTGAAACCACCTACAAGAAGGTCTATTTGGTAAAGTGGAACAACAACTTTTGCATGCCAGGATGACTTTAACCCATAGTTGGCTACCACCCTACATTTCCTGCAGATTTTCTTCTGGAAAGGCCTCATCCCCTATTTGATCCATGTATACCTAGCAACCATGAAGCCTGCTTGTGGTACTACAAGCTCTCCCTGGCTACAACTGACTCACACCTCTCATCCTGGAAGGTGGCCTTCCTTGTGACCATCACATTGGCCTGTTATGCCAGTGAGCTCTGGGTTGATCCACCATACCTGACCTTCCAGAGAGACATTGCCATTCTCCACCCCAAAACCTGCCTTCCTAACTAAGATCATTTCACCTTTTCGTCTAGGTCAGGACATCATCTTCCTTGCCTTCTTCTCTGCCCCATCCACCCTAGTAGAGTCCACCCGGCACCTGCTCCATGTCAGGAGGGCCTTCGCCTTCAACAAATCCAGAACTGAACTATCCCACTGCTTCTCCAGACATTTTTTTTTTTTTTTTTGCTACATGGAACAGCAAAAAGGAGACCTGCTCTCTTCACAGAGACTATCCATCTGTGTCTCAAACACCATTCACCTGGCATATGAGATGGCAGGCCTCTACCTCACTATGTGACTGAGGGCCCACTCCATGTGAGCACTGGCCATGTCCACAGCCTTCCTTCTTGGGATCTCCCTGCAAGACATCTGCAAAGAGTTCATGTAGTCCATGCCCTCAACATTGATCAGGCATCATCTGTTCTAGGGCAGATTGCTTCTTCCACAGGGCATTTCTTTCCTCTGTCCTCCAGTGATGACAGCCTCTCTCCATTCTTCACAGGGTAAGCTAGCTAATCATCAGTATTTGTGATGCACAGAGACCACAAAGAAGAAAGGCAGGTTGCTTACCTGTAACTGTCATTCTCCCAGTGGTCATCTGTGCATTCACACACTCCGCCCTCTGGTTCCACTTTGCTGTCATCCCTCAACTATTGCCCTTACTCTCCAAGGGGTGCGCAGGGCCAGACCAGATCAGTGTTTCTCTACTTCCCTCATTGCAGAGATCCATGGCAGTCTCCTCAGGAACTGAGGTGATGGGTGGGAGCCCCTCCCCATGCTGTTCCCAGGAAGCATGGGAAAGGGCTCCTATCTAAAATGAACACTTGGCTATAGAAACTTCCTAACAACAGGCTCTGTATAGGAGCAAAGCCCCTAAGTGTGATGCACAGAGACCACAAAGAATTTTAGCTCTTGTAGCAGAAATTGATACTGTGAAATATACAAGGAAGCATAAAAAGTAAGTAAATAAAAATGCTAGGGTACTCAACATGGACAGTCAATTTACTATTTCAAAAAGGGTGCATCACATTTCTTCAAGTTCTCTTCATAAAGAAGTTTGATTCAATCAAAATCCCTGAAGAGGGTTAAGCTTCATCTAAAAACTTGACTATGAGGATGACAAGAATGAACCCATTTGGGAGAAAAATGTGAACTGCCTTTATTTCGGAAAGAAGCAAAGTAAAAATTTTATTATTTCATTTCATTTGGAGTGCCAGAGTGGTGGAGTGTGGGGAGAGGGTTGGATCTTGGAGATTATAGGAAAACTACAGACTCAAAGGAGGTACAAGCTGGCAGCAAATGTCAAGAGCAAAATATGGGGTTCAGTACTTGGGAACGTGCCCAGTGTATATTCAGTCAAAACAAAATTTACATAAATGCTTAAGGCCTCAGTATGGATTCAAGGAGCTCCTAAATATTAAGGATCAGAACTGAAACTTGTTTTTAACATCATGTCCAAATCTTGTACAAAGAATTTTTGTTAGGACAGTTAACCCACTTACCCCCTACATGATACATTTACTTTTTGAAAGAATATACTTTAGGGAAAATTAATTATAATTCATTTTCAAATCAGCTGGTGAGCTATTCTGTTGTGGCCTTACCTCTCCCATGACTGCAATTGGTGTCTCTCCTGTGGCTTGAGCAACACGATGTTCAACTAAGTAAAACATGTATTCATCATACAGTAGACGGATCAGATGAAAAGAACCAAAGCTAGCAGCACTGCGCAAGGTTAAATCTCGAATAACCATTGAGCTGTATAAAAATGAAACAAATATGAAGTATAACTTTTATTTATTTATACATACACACACTCTTCAGAAACCACTGAGACATATCCAAAATAATCCTGAAAAGCTAGATCATTTAGACAAATATGGATGCTTACATTCCATTTTAGAAGTTCTATTATTGTCCCAGTTCAGACGTAACACTAAACAGTGTTGCGGCATGATGTAAATAAGCAGCAGCAAGTATAGGCCTCTGCAATTTTGCCACCACCTGGCATGAACCAGGGGAAGCTAGAAACATTTGCTTCCTAGTTTAAACAAACTGGAGTTTCTTGCTCTGGCCAAACCAGGAACTCTGGCTTTACATAAACTATTATTTAGTTTTGGCCTTTCTTCATAGCGTTACTAATCATAGTTTGTAATTTCTTGATATAACAATATGCAACAATACAAATCAAGAGTTTGCGCCTCTTCAGTATTACTTATTCCAGGGTTAATGGTAAATGATGTAGCAGAGTATGTGGTGGGGGAGCCATTCTTCATGCTGAGGAACATGCATGCTGCAAGTGTTTGAAGCACAACTGGATTCTTAACTCATAGTTCACTACCATGAATATGAATACTGTTTTATCTACTGAAGCAGACCACAATCATGCTAGTCAACATTAAGGTTCATGGGCTGTAGCTGTCTCAGCATGGCCTTCAACATCGATTCTGTTAGGTACTAAAAAGGTCCAGGGCTGAGGCCCACAGAAGAAAGGAGTGCAGAAATCTGTAGGTACTGATTTACTTAGGCAAATGAATAAATCACATGTGCATAGTCAGAAATCAATGCTATAATTTAAATATTATAAAAGGCAAGCTAATTAACTCTCAGGAGAGAATTATGCACTGCCCCAAATTGTGCTTGCTTAAGATTATCCTCTGTGTACATATACTTTTCCTTGGGTCTTTCAGACCCAAATCCAGATGGAGAGGATGGAGTGCCTGGGCCTGACAGAGGGCATACAGTACTTCATTTGCTTAATAATTGCAAACTGAATATCGGACCCTGGCAAGTGAATGTGTAGGAACGTATTGTAGAGTATAACAACCCATGCTGTCAAGTCTGCAAGCATGCACAATTGCTAGAGAACAACACAGTGAGACTTTCTCCTGAGTACACCCTCACTTGCTTTCTCCACTCTCCCAGTCACCAACAAGAACAGCAGCACCAAACAAAGGCCCCAAAGATTGGGGGACAATGCTTTGCTGTTCCAGGTTCTGGGTTATGAAAGAGTAGAGAAAACTGCCACCAAAGATAGCTCCTCATTTTATTTCAAATTCTTTATTTTGGTAGTTTCTGGAATACTGTAACTTATAAAGAATAAGTTTGGGATTCTGACTTCAAGAAGTCCCAAAATATACACCAAATGTTGCAATATTAAGTTTCTAGCAGTCTCATCATCATCATCATAAAATACCTAACAGCTGGAACCGGTAGTCTATAAGTATTAACCTATGCCAGTTTTACTGGATTTTGTTTTCAGTTTTTCCAATATTTGCGGACACTCCAACAGCTTTCTGAATTATGTTCTTTGCCATCTGTCTTTTCACTAGCACAAGGTATGCAAAGTTACAGTTCAGTAATATATCCCTTAATTATATCATGTTTTATATATTAGTGATAGAGGCAGATCTCACAATCGAGAAAGCTACTCACAATTGAATTCACAGATGGAATGCTCAGGAATTACCCAAAAAAGTTCCAATCATCTATATTTGACCATGTCAATTTTATATAGTCCACCCCATTCATTATATCAAACTCTTTATCCAATTCTATTGCTTTAAGTATTATAGTATCACTTATATATCAGTGACAAAGGAGGATATCACAATCACAATATAGTTTCCTTCCATTTGAATTAATATATCCAGTAGCCAGAAATAGCCAATCAATTTTCCATTACTAAGCTATGCTTCTGTGAAAAGTATTCACTGTTAAAATGAAGATATCACACTGTAAACATCTGCTATCAAATCATCCTTGTTCTCAATACAGAAGCCATGACAATTAATCAAGTGGTGCTTTTCTCTGGATGAGGAATTAAAAATCTGTAATGGGAAGTTTGAAACATGCTGGTATAGGAAACCTATGAAAAGGGATATGCTAAACTGTAACCCTGCATACCACCTTGTACTAGTGAAAAGGCAGGAGGCAAAAACATTCTTTGAAAAGAGGTTGGGGTGTCTACAAATAATTATGTGAAGGAATCAAAATGAATGGCTGTAAATATGGCAGAGACTAATGGTTATAGGCTGTTAAGAGTAAGTAGCATATCAGAAGACTGCCAGTTCTGAAAATCTCATTTATTATTAGATTTACATCCTGCTTCTCTCCTTTAAAGAACTCAAAGCAGTTTTCGTCTTTCTCCTGCTGCTGCTCCCAATCTTATTCCCACAACAACCACCCTGTGAGGTAGGCTAGGCTGAGTGTCTGCGATGGGTCCCATTGGCTCCATTTTACCCAGTTGGCTTCATGACTTGAGCATGGACTAGCACCTGTGCTCTTAGTTCTGCAGTCTTAGCCACTACACTACACCACACTGGCTCTCATTTGTGATTGACAGATCTGTATGAAAGGCCCAACAGTTGCTTCACCACCATAACATTAAGATGAATGCTGTTTGTACTGTCCCAATACCATTGAAAAATCGAAGACTAGGCTATATGGCAACAAATGATAGACACAAGAATGCCCCAACTGAGTGGAAAGCAAGAGGGTATGTACAGTAAACAGCTGCTATTTATAAAATTGGGTGTCTAATGCATAATTTCTTTTATTTTGGTGAAACATGATTGTAAAGAGTATAAAGAACACTTGGCTAGTATGCAACATAATGAAATACACACTAGACTATGGTGGAAGAAACATGCTGTCAGTGAAGATATTTGTGCTTGCAGCGGAGCAAAATCTCCAAAGGAGGCAGATTAATGAGGCAATGGGTAGGTTTGTGTGACACAACAAGCCTTTTGGGCTAATAAGCCACATAGCATGGTTTCTTTTTTGGGAACATCTGGTGACAACTGGTTTTCCCTGGGACTATGGTTTTTCCTGCCTTTCTTCTCAGGCATCCACTGGGTAATGGGAAGTATCCCAGGCATCTTTGTGACAGAAACCATGCCCTGTGGTCTGTTGTGTCACAGCTTCATCACCAGCTTTTGCCTCATTGGTCCACTTCAGCTACATCACTAGCTTTTTTCCTACTGGTTTGCTCATGACCAAGGCATGTTTATACTTTACCCAAGTGTCCTTTTCACAGCCATTTCCCCACAACCATTCCTCTACCCAAGGGCCTGTTCATGCAGCTTACAAGCATCTCTTAGTCCATTCCAGTCCTCCCCTTGGGCTATTTCTGCTTTGTTTGGCCATCAGCTGCATCCAGGCTCTAGCAATACAACCCAATCTCTCATGGGCCCTACTCTTCTCATCCCAGTGAAAGGGTTACCCATACTCAAAAAGGCCCAATCTTCACTAAAACAGCCCCTCCTCTTGCCTGTTTGCCCTTCTTCCTCGTCATCAGAAGAGCAGTTACTTTTTTCTTGTTGGCCCATTTGTGTCTTCAGCTATCTACCCTTTCTTGTCCATGAAAATTTCCCCTCTCTATTGTCCCATCCGTTGACTGCCAGCCCCCTTTCTTCTGTTCACAGCCTCACAGCCACCCAACAATATAGCAAAGCAATAGTCTAAGAAAGACATGTCTACTGATTTAAAAACAATGCAAAAGCCATCTTACTATATCTAACAAGAAGCCCAATTCTCCTTTTGTGTATCCTGCTAGAGGTTGGGTTGGGCAGGCTAAGAAATACGCTACCATTGGAAAAGCAGTACTTTGGTTGCAGCAGCTGGATGTGGTTTTGCATAAGGTAAACCGGGGGGGCGGGGGAGTTGTAAGGAACTGATTTATACATTGTACAGAGGCATAACCAAAGGTGATACTGTCTGCAATGTAAGAGGAGGGGACATATGGGATCCTCTATAGGTTGCCCTGTTGGCGCAATGAAAAGTCAATGAGAATGTTGGCTAGGCTGTTGGGTCTGTGTGGCTCCGCTAAAAACCCTCCCAAAGTTCACTCCTGGGAGAGTGCACTGTTGGGTGTAAGATCTTTCACACACAATATGCACACAAATAATGGTTTCAGACCTGCTCTGCAGTTGCTGCACAAATGCATGGCACTTCCTCACAGTGGATTTGCTAGAATGGCTAAGGAAAGCCATCTGGGTGCCCATGGGGACAGTGTTGTTCTCCTCCCCTGGACTAGGTAGCTCTAGGTTGCCCTGAAGCAGCACATCCCCCATGGATTTGCAAATCTCATGCAAGATGCAGCAACATCATGTCCAGAGCAACATCTTCCTCCTCATTCAGAAAAGTGTATAGGGAACACCAGCAACCCGTTAAGAAGTCAAATACCTACTCCATGAGCGGCATTGTGCAGCTATGGTAACGGCTGATGTGCTTTTGCTTGCCTGTTCTGGAAGCCCATTTGTTGGGGTTAAAAAGCAAGAGCTTGGTCTCTCAGGATGAGGGACAGCATAGGTAGACCATCCACCATTGCTGCTGGGCTGGAGAAGAACCTGTCATTTGTAGGAATGTGAACAATAGGCAAGTTTCAGGATACAGCCACTCATGACTTCCTCTGGACACCCTGACATAGTGTTCATAAAATGCCCCTTGCTGTCCAGAAGTGCCTGGATGACTATGCAGAAGAAGCATTTCTGATTATAACAATCCTTTTGAGGACTGTGAAAAGGGCAAGATAGGAACATGTCTTAAATCCAGGTTCTCGGCCATCCAGTTCTTGGACGCCTTTTGTGAATTTCCACTTATTTCCCACCTCAAGGACATCAGCCAGGCTTGCATAAAACATACACTTTCTTTCTGAAGTTCACACATACAGTCTTTTGCTGATGCCAAAGCGGATGGCCAGGGATAGATAGCCAGGGCTGACTGCAAGTTTGTAAAACAGTAATCTTTTCTCTGATTTCCATTGTTGTGTCTGACCAGTAGATGATGGATTCAGCTTTGGGGACTTGGTTTTCAAAGGTGGCCCAAGATTTGCAGAAAGTGGCCCAAAACTAGATACTGTCCCATGCCTCCATATTCAGCACAGATGCCCGCCTGGCCTCAGTGTGTGAGCAGGTCCACCAGCTTACAACACACCTGTCTCCCATAAGCTTCTTCACCAAGACACCCTGATTGTGGGAGTGTCCAATGGAGCTGCCACTTGCATGTCCTGAAGCAACCTGTAGAGCCCATTCCTGGCCTGAAACTAGTTCCTGAGAAAGACTTGTTCTGCCCGTTCCCCCTGAAACCTGCCACATGTTGCTGCAAGCCCATCATCACAGAATCAGCTGCAGGTGCGCTGCTACGGCACCTCACCTCCTGTTCCAGATCATCAGTTTGGCCAATGGCGGCTTTCAGGGCAGTCTCCAGCGCAGCAACAATTAGGGCCAGTTGAGCCATGGCTGTCTCCTATGCATGGCAGGGAGGCGGCAGAAGGAGCATTCTCTCATGCGGGATGACTTGCAGGAGAGGTGGGAGGAGAGCTAGGAGGAGTGGAGGGAGGAGAAGAGACAGCATGCTGGACATGAGCAGGCCTGGGGAAAACAGCATGGGAAAGCAGCAGTGCCAAGAACAGGAATGTGTATGGGGCAGAAGGTGGCTGTTGTGTGTGGTGAAGGTGGCAGCTGTGCTAGGGGGAGTCATCCCTGAAGAGTATCAGGGAGTGAAGGGGTGCCTGCAGGAGAACGGGGAACTGTCTTGGGCGCATCTGAAGGTATGTGCTCTAGCCAGATAAACCCAAAGACTGCTTGCGGATGGCCTTCTGTCCCAGAGTACTCCTGAGACTCATTCACATAGAGGTACAGGCATAGCAGGATGTAGCTCTGCTCAAAAAGGCATGCTACCATGGTTTCAAATAAAGGGATGAGCCAGGTGGGGGAATGAAGCAGAGGGGAATGCAGGAAAGAGATAAAAGGAGAAAGAGACAGGGACAACAGATTAGGGCCACTAGTGCACTCTCTCTCAATCCCCCTTCACACCCAGACAGGCGCAAACACACCTTTCTGCTTCTGTCACTGAATGCAGTTGTTGCTAATTGGTGACCTGATCCTACAACTGTCCCAATGTACCTCACTCCATCTTCCCAGAAATGAAAGTGACAACTCCCAGTCAGCTCCCACCTCAGTGCTCCTTGCACCTTCCAGGAATCCACAGGTTGCAATGTTGTTGCATGCCACTGTCTGCCAGCACTCTTAAAAGCGCACCTGATGAAGCATGTCTGGCTCTAACCTCACTAACGAGGGGAACACAGCAAACTTTCATGCCTAACAATGTAGCAGATTCTGAAAAAAGAGAGTACGTAAGAGAAGAGGGCACATAATCGGAGCTGGCTCCACTCCCTGACTAAGCTCCCTGATGCGGGGGACTGCAGGAGGACCATGCCTGATCCTGAGTGGCTCTCGACCTTCACATGAGGCAAAGGTGCCTTCTTCTGAGGGAAGAAAGCTGGCAGCAGGCCAAGCTACAGTCACAGAAACAGGTCCTCCAAACCTGCTGCCAAAAGGTGTAGGGAAGGGGAGGCAGGGGGAAGGAGAGCAGAAAAAGCATGAAGCGAAGGGGGGGGGCAGGGTTGGTAGGGCAAATAGGTGCTGTGCTGGCCTGTAGGCATAGGATGTTTACTGAGCCTGGACTACATGCCCTTGAATGCTGTTTGCAGCCCCACTGTCAAGTTGTGAGGCATGTCTCTCTGACTGCAAACGGTAGCTGTACAGCCACCACCCGCTCATAGCTACAGTCTGAAGCTGCCATCCTTTCTCACATCCTGCACCTCATGCATGCCTCACACGTAACTTTCCAGCTGTGTGGACACTGTCAGCTATGCTTCGCAGACCAGACTGCCACAAGATGCTCACTCATGCCTCTCTTGCTCTCCTGCTCCTTCATTTCCCTGAAGGCCACATATGCGCACTCCTGCTGCCTTAGCAATGGTAACAATGTCCTGTTCAAGTTGGAGCCAGTTCAAGTTCAAAAGCCGATTTTGCTTTTGTTATGCAGTTGCACTCCATGAGCCCTGAGAAGCTGGGCTTGATGAAAAGCTACTCGGGATGGGGGGAGTGAAGGCAGCAAGCATGACCCCTCTGTGTTCTAGAAGAAGGGGCACCTCAATCCCAGCTTCAAGATGCAGCAAGAGATTCCCCCATGGCATCAAAAGACTGCACCATGTCATGAATGTATATAGTTCAAATAATGTCTGAGGGCTGCTGTGTTCCCCCACTCATCAGGGGGACATCCAGGGGAAGCACATATTTCCGGGAGCTCCTCCACACTCCTCTGTTGGCAGTTGCAGCTCAGATGGCATCGCAGTGTGAAAAGACGCTCCACACTGCTTCACAACAGTGCCCAAATTCTGGCTGGGCTCAATCAAATTGCCTGTCTTGGCTTCCCTCTTCAGTTTAAGTAATATGAAGTAGGTGGGGCTGCTTCTAGTTGAGAAGTATGCTGTGGGAAAGCTGGACCCTGAGGAGCTGTTCACCTGGAACAGTGCTGGGGGCAGGGGCATGAAATAGTGGCAGATGATGCCATTTCTGGCAGCTTTGGGATATTCAAGAGTGGCTGCCGTGCTGTATAGTGCTGCATCTGCATGGACCCAGGGTCATGGAGGTGGAGTCACAGGTTGGAAATTTTCAGGATTTCATCTTAGTAATGGTGGCTGGACAAGTGAAAAGTTTGCCAGCTGTGGTCTAGGAGTAACATTCCTGAAGTGAACAAGGGTGGAGGAAAGCTTGTCTGGGGAGTGCAAGGTACATGACTGAACCCTCCTTTGCTTGCTGTGTCATGACCTCCTTAAACTTCCTCAGAGTATGCATCTTTTCCTTGCACTTGGCAGGAGTGTGCCTAAAGCCCCAAAGCAGGAGCTGCTTGCAAAACCAGGGGAAGATATTGCCATGCCTGGTACTGTGAGGCATTCCTAACACTTCAGAAATGAACTAAAATGCCCACTGCCTGCCCTGTGTTGCTCGCTGGCTCTTGGCTTCTGCTACTGCTGCTGCCTTTCACATTGAGCCTTCCAAGACAAATCGATTCAAGACAAGACAAATCGATTCAAGACAAATTGATTCAAGTAAGGACATCAAGGCAGCCACAACAGCACAACTAAAGACACTCACAAAAGAAGATTTTCAGAACTGCTTCAGAAAGTGGCAAGAATGATGAGGTAAGAGTGTTCTAAGCGAGGGGGAGCATTTTGAGGGGGATGAATGGCAATGTGTCTTTTACCGCAGTGGTTTTCAACCACTGCTCCATTTCCTGCTGGTCGGGGGCGGGGGGGGGGATCCCACTCACCGTGGATCAGTGTGGGGACTGGCTGTGCTCCACCACCTCTTCCTCAGTTGGCATTACTTTTGTGGGGAGTGCACTGGTGTCACAGGCGGGGGTAGGGAGGGGACAGACGGCTTGGTGAAAGCCAGATGGGGGCTGTGCTGATTTTGGTATTTTGTTCTTTCTTTGAAATTTTTTGTTGCTTGGTATCTGGTTGTTTTGGAGAATTTCCTTTTGGAGGGGGGGTTTGATGTTTGGAAACTAATACAATGAATACTGTATAATGCATATGGTGCTTTTTGCTTCTGCCTCAGCAGTCCCTCAGGTGGTTTTCCTGTTTTCACCAGTCCCCAGCTGTGGAAAAGTTGAAAACTACTGTTTTACTGTAATTATTTTTCTTTCAACTTGGGCACACAACTAATGATGTTTTCACTGTGACTGCATTTTTTTTCACTTTGCTCATAGTTTGAATTTAGAAGCATGGTCCAAACTGCGGAGCAATTTTATCTTGATTCTAACATTCGAATTCTGGATTTTCCAAGTTAGAGTTGTTCGAACTATGAGGCACCACTGTAAAAGGGATAGCATTTAGAAGAAGGGTCTTCTCAGTGCTGTCCCAAACCTTTGGAAAAGGCTTCTTAAAGAGGTCTGCCTGGCGCCATCTCTACTTTCATTTTGGTGCCTGGCAAAAACCATCCTCTTTCACAGATTTTACAAAATCTGAATTTAAAACCTGATTATAAGTGTTCTCTCTGCTCCAACAGAATTCCTCCCCTAACCCTAACCCTAACCCTGTACTTATACTGTCAGCTATATCTTGATATTGTTAGCTGCTTAGTGTCAGGTCGGGCTACTGAGCAGCATATAAGTTTGAAAAATAAATAAATAAAATTTGAAATAAACTTCTTCAGTGAGACCTTTAGAGCAATTAAAATGGTTTCCCAGGAAACCAGATATCACATCACCTCTAAGCCATCCCCAGACACAATAAAACCTATTTGCAACTGCTTGCATTCACATTCTTCCCTTATAAACCTGACTCTGCTCCTTATGACCAAACTGTGGGCAGAAAACATGACTGAGGAGTTGGGTTGGCATATAACATATAATGTTTCAAAGACTGATGGCAATGCAGTAAGAATAAAGAACAGAATAGAACCAATTTAGAACACTTTAAGGTACTGACCTGTAGAAAGACCACTTTAACAGAAATTGTCGTGCTGCTTTAGGAAAACTAGGTCTTCCTTCATATGGTTTCAGTGCTTGCATCATTACATTATCAAGCCAGGCAGCCCACTGCTCCAGAGTGCTCTGCTGCTGAAGAGTCATCTTGAAATCTGTTTCCAACCTCTGTACCATGTTGTCGTCACACTGGCACACCCAGGAAGCCTGCTCCTGTCATGGTACAAAAGAGGTCAACACACATCTCTCCAAGTTCCACATTTAGACAAACCAATCTAGGGATTCCAAATCAGAAAGTGGTAATGTTAGGAGACAGAAGAAACGGGGGGGGGGGGATTTGTGGGTGCCATAGCCAGAAAGAGGAAAAATGATATTATTGGACATTTAAATGTTTTGTTGTTGCTTCTCACTTCATATGAATGGATTCTAACTTGTTCAACCATTTCAAATGTGATATTTGACTTCATAACATTTTAATTTTTAAAGATACTTGCCAATTGGCCAAGGATGCCCTGATCTGATACTGGGGGATACCCCACTGCTTTGTCAACAACCCACATAGCGTAAGATTGAAACACATAAAAGATCCCAAACTGCAGAAATGACTAATAATTATCTTCTTGCAAGGTGACCAAGCTATAAGATGTCATTTTTCAGAGTATGCAAACCCAAAGCAGTCTTGTAGCAGTTTTTCTGTAGAGAATTGCCACTGGCAGCTCAGATATTCAGACTCTACCCCACTGCTTTGTCAACAACCCACATAGCGTAAGATTGAAACACATAAAAGATCCCAAACTGCAGAAATGACTAATAATTATCTTCTTGCAAGGTGACCAAGCTATAAGATGTCATTTTTCAGAGTATGCAAACCCAAAGCAGTCTTGTAGCAGTTTTTCTGTAGAGAATTGCCACTGGCAGCTCAGATATTCAGACTCAAAGAGAGGGAGGAGAGAGAGACAGACCGACAGAGACAACACCATACCCATATGCAGTTTGTAAACTTCCACCATACCTGGACATTGGCAAAATCAACACGGTTGAGGTCATTGAGCATCTGGTTGATTTGAGAAGTGTTCTGCAGCACAGCACGAGCTGCCTGAGCCAGATGATTAAGAGATGTGTATCTTCGCAGAGTCTGAGCAAAGGCACTTACAGCGGCAACCTATGACAAATGAAGAAAAAGGCCTGATGTGTATGGACATCCTCACAGGCCTGGGACTGGCCAGCAAATTTTACTGAGGTCTCATTTTTACAGAAAAATATTGTTTCACCCTTCTATTAATATTTTTGTAAAAAGAGAATGGGAAAGCTTCATAAAACAGCTACATCTGCCACAAGTCTTTCTCTGTACAATTCATTTTCTTCATGGAACTCTTGCCTGGTCATTAAAGGCAAGAGTTCTACATAGGGAACTGAAGTTGGCAATAACTGCTGCAAGAATTCACATAATCTTTCTCCCATCCCACTCCCACACACAGCACCATGTCTGAGCATCTTCTGACAGATATTTTGCCAATTTATAGCTAAGAACTAAACAACCAATGCATGCAATACTCATAACATGTCATGTAAAGCCCTAATTTTAGATTTATATTTGTTGATGAATTTTACCTTTTCAGTAATATCAAATAATGTCATAGATAACTAAAACAATTTAATATAAAATATTCTAAATTAAATGAAGGCTAAGTCTGCAGAATTTTGTTTTAAGGCATTCTTTTTTCATTTGTTTTACATTGACACAGAGAGCTTAACATGAGGATTTCCTGGAATTTCATAACATCCTTTTTGATCCACATGATTTAGAAGGCAAAAGTAACTATTTTACCTTGGTTTGAATCATTCTCTGTGGAATATTGTTCATGGCATTGGAAAGCCAACCTTCAAGGCTTTTTGCAAAATTGCGAATGGCTTGGGTCAAGGCACCTATGCATGAAAGAATACAAAAGAAATGAAAAAAAAAAGTCAAGGCATGTGTGTTGAAAACTTATGTCCTTGAATATTACAACTACATAGTAGAGTGAATGAGTAAATGCTAATGCATAGTAGTAATCACTGTACGGACAGTAAACTGAATACAGTATAGAATTAAAGGTGGTGTTGTATTGGCACAATGTATCTATATCACAGTGAATACCCAAACACCAGGGTGTACTTCTCACTGAGATGCTAAACAAGTGTCTGGGCTGTGTCACTTCGGACTGCAAGTGGAAGCTACTTGGTATGGCAGGGCTTTCAAACAGGCAAGTCCCACCTGCAGTCTGACGTGGTAGAACTCACACACAGCTTCAGCCTCATTGGCACAAATTAGGCTCCAGGTAAGCCTCAATAACTTATTACAGTGCAACTTTCTAGCAGGTAAAGGAGCATGAATATGACAGTGTAACTGCGGACTGGAAGTACACCCTTAGATGAAGGCACTTGCTGCCGTTGTGGAGCTGCAGCATAACCACTGCTGCAGAAGATTTGAGTGTCCAAGGTCAGAGCATCAGGAGTTTAGATTAACAGGGATGATGACATCATCTGCCACCCCTCACACCTCCGCAGGCTTCCATGTTCTCTGAGATATTAACGCAAACCTCACAGTAGGAAAGGAGGAGAGGTTTTTTGCAGGAAAGATAGATGACAGACAAAAGGCTGTGACCAATCCTTATGATAATGCAGAGTATCTGGGGATGGCCTGTTCCTGAATCAGTGATTAAGTGTGGTAATTATATTTACAAAAAAATTCACTGCTAGTGGAAAACTGGTCATTGGTAAGAATCAACAAAGTGGTGTGCATTTTTAGACTTTCCTTGGGGATGTAAATACAAAGAAAATGTAAAGATGGGTGAGTGCACTGTATCACTGAGTTTAAAAACCCATGACATATCTGACAACTGCAGTTTTTTATATTCACTGTTGTTAGGTGCACAGCACTAGCTTTTTGATTTGAGCTGTATATGGTTTAATTCTATGAAGCATGCCTATCAATTGTTTCACTACTGATCAACATTATGTACTATGATTTCAACTTCTATTCTGATTGTCATGTTTTATTCCTGATGTGCCTTTGCCTGGCTGTGGGAATTTGGGATGTTACTTGAGCAATAGCCTGCATGTCTGAGAGCCACTGTTTGTTATTCTTAAATACATACAGTTAAAAGGGTGTGTTTAAACAAGGATTAAAATGCTAAACATTTTAAATTGCACATGCAAAACTAATCTCAACCATTCAGTGACTCTTTAAATATCAATGGAACAGACACAAACACAGACTCACTCACCTATGACCAAAGTTCAGGGAGCTAATTTAGCAACATTCAAAGATTTATGTACAACCAATGAGATTTTCTTTGAACAGTAGACCCTTAGCATCATCTTCAGGCAAAACATACACACAAACATAATCAGAAACTACTTTAGACATTTCTTTATGGACAGCTTTGCCATTAGAGGAGTCTGCTATTTAAGAGACAGAAATCCAAATCTCTGCTGAGGACATGAGTAGTCATGCAGTTCTCTGGGCTGTGGCCTATACCTATAATTTTTATAGACAGTCAAAAAGTACTTTGGTAATCTTTTGTGCTTGTATTTGCCTCAAGCGTATATTTGCAGAAGGTTTCAATATTCCAGTTTGAATACCTTTTTCTTCTATTGTTTTCAGAAACAGCTTGAATTTGTAGCAGCATTCTAAACAAAACCTAGTAACTAGCATGAAGTCTGCAGGTCCCAAGCACAGAAAATAACCACACACTTAACAGATTGGAATGGGAGTAAACTCCTACCATTAAACTGAATTTAGACTTGCAGCTTAGTACCTAATTAAGCATTCAGCACAGGCATTGTGCTCTATGATAATGTCTTAATAAAAAACATGGAAGCTAGCTTACACTGTATGAGTAGCTGCCCAGTCTAGTATATGTGGTTGAACAAAGATATATGTGAAGTCATTTTATACTGGGAGACATAAATAGGAGTTCTGAAATTAAAGTTTGCGCCCTTGTTTCTCATTTATCTCACTGATACAAGTTGCCAAAACTAGTGCTAAAACAGCCTTCCCCAACCTGGTGCCTACCAGATGCTTTGAATTACAACTCCTAACCTCTCTGCTCACCAGATATGCTGATGAAGCCAATGAGAGCTAAGTGGAGTGCTGGGCTGCCTTTGTTTGCAGGTGATTCCTCCTGTGACTCTGAATACTCTTCTGCAGCGGGGGAGGGGGCACTGAGGGTGCACGGGAAGGGCCCTGGCTCCACTGCTGGTGCCTTGGACCTCTCCTTCTCACTACCCAGGAGAGGGGGGCTCCTGAGTGGAAGACAGGTCCTCCTCATCTTCTGAAATGGAGCTTAGAGCTAGAGGTAATCCCTGTTCCTCTTCTGAAAAGGAGCCTTTGAGGTAAAGCATGACATCTGTCTATCCTTGTTTGTCAAACAAATCAAGGAAACTCTAACATTCTCTTTGGGGATTTCTATTTTTGTGTTGTGCTTTGTCCATGGATATAGCAATACTTTCTTAGACAACCTGAGAAATGGGCCTCGCTCATGATCCTTCCCTCATACCCTGCCTCCACTATCCAGTAGCTGCAGAAGTAAATATAGGCCCCATGTTTCCTCCCCCCCCCCATTCCAACTCCCCAAGAAGCAGTTTGAGTTCTGGCTCCTCTTCACCAGCTCCCCGATCCACACTTACCTTTAGCCAAAGAGCCCCGTGTTCCTCCTGCTGCCAGCTCCCTGCCCCCACCCAAGTGGTCGCCAAGAGCATAGTGACCATTTCTACCTCATCCTCCTTCCTCTCTGCTACACCACCCCCACTCTGCTAGCAGATTCATTTCCCATCTTACACTGCCATTATCAGTTTGCAAACAATTAATTCCTTGCACCAAGACAACAGTCTTGGTCCTGAGCACTTATTTTAAATTAGCTTGGTCTGGCATTATGGGGAATCTGAACTTTACCAAATATAGGCTTTCCTCTAAACTACCTGAAATGATACTAATGGGGTGGGTAACACATTAATGGGATAACCTACAAAATACAAGAATGGGATGCAGGTAAATGTAAAAATGAGGTGTCACTAGAGTGAAAAGCAGTTACACAGTGAATGCCATCAGGTGGCTGACTGGGCAAAAAGGCAAGCTTGCGTGGCTCATGCTTCCCAGTGGTATATTATACTCAAGCATGGGCTAAGAATATCTCCCTCACATGTACCCAGCCAGTCTTTAAGATAATCAGAAGAGGCCTGCCTGGTCATTCTGAAACCAACAGAATGGTGCCAAGCAATACTATGACAGCAGGCCTTCTCAGTAGAGCATGAAACTTTGGAAGATTCCTCCCCGTGCAGTTTGAGGGGCAGAAAATGTAGCATGTTCGGAACATTACAAGAAAAGTCTTCCCTAGTGTGCAACTGAATTAATCATGCTGCTTTTTTACTATTCCTTCCATTGTTGTTCTAATTAGAATTGTTTTAATAGTGTAGTATTTTAACTGCATTTTAATGTAATTTGTATGTAAATGACTGGGTGATTTTATTATATCAAGCTGTGTACAAGTAACACAAATAAACAAACAAATTTCTGCAAAATCTAGCACCCCAAGCATGTACGTCCAGTGCTTGCATACTGAGGGGAAGGTGGGCCAGGGAGTGAAGGCACCTGAGGTATGGCAGAAAGTGCTGCTGCAGAAGAAAAGGTGGAGGGGAGAGGTACTGCTGTGGTGCAGCATAGGGTAATGAGTTTGTACTATCAGCAGGCCTTGCCCAGGTAACTGTATTGCCATCTAGTCTAAACCAGCAATACTGTGACTTACCCACTGCACCTGTCTCCTCCAAAGACAAGTGCCTGGGCAAAACAGGTGGGAGAAATCTGGATAGTGTCCCTTAAGATAGTCTCTTAAGGGACACTACCCAGATTTTTCATGGGGTAGTCCAGCTCTGAATAAATTTCATTTGGAAAAGTACTTTGTACTGGACTGTTCTGGACTGCGTCCTGAAGGGTGCTCCCACATTCTTTCTTTTAGATGGAACACGTCTGTGCTCAGGTAGCACATCAGAAGGCCAGGTTACTGTTCTTAGAGTGGTGGGAAGTAAGTTGGGCTGCTTGTACTCAAGGTGTATGTAACCGAAATTGTCCCAGAAGCAGAATGGGTTACTTCCAGGGCAGTAGGGATGGAATCCCAGGGCAAATTGCAGTTCTCAAAGATTCTATATCATGGGTCCTCAAACTACGGCCCGTGGAATGAATCCAGCCCGCCATGCCCTTTCATCCGGCCTGCACTGCAGTTCATGTGCGTGCTTGCCACGCGGGCAGGAGGCGGTGGCCTGCTCACTCGGAGATGGTTTTGGACTCATTGGGAGATCTCCCAGTGAGTTCAAAACCCTCTTCGAGCAAGCTGCCGCCACCTGCCTCCCTCGTCCACACGTGCTCGCCACTGCCTTGCAGCGCTGGCTGGAGGTAGTGGCTTGCTCGCTCGGAGATGATTTTGGACTCACTGGGAGATCTCCGAATGAGCGAGTTGCCTCCGTGTGCGCCCAACGCCACCTCGCGCGCACCCGACCACCCCCCACCGCTGCCTTTCAACTGGCCCCCTATTGAAAAAGTCTGAGGACCCCTGCTCTATATGGAACATTTTTTTGGGATGCCCAGCATTTGTCTTTCTTGAAATAGTTGCAGATGGTACACCGAGCAGCTTGGCCATACTGGATGTGGCTGGCCATACAGTATAGGGATCAGGATGTTTTGATGTCCCACAAGTCAAGAGAAAGAGTAACGAAGACTGTCAGATCTGAAGAAGTTCATGGGATGATACCTGAAACTTGGAGGTTAGGGCAAGAGAATCCTACTGCCAGCTATATAACCAAGGACCATGTCCTTTCAATTAAGCAGAACAGCTACCTTCCCACCTAAGACACAACCCCAGAGCATTTGTTTTAATGTGCAATTTCTTTAA